TTAATAACATACGCATTCTCACCCCAAGGCGTCACCTTTGACCATGCTTCAATATTTGACGCTTTAGGCGCCCTTTAGCGTCAGTTACATGACACGATCCTACGGCGTCATCTAGCTGACGCTAAAGGAAAGCTTCAGTTAGATGACGCAGTTAGATCTGGGGTGGGGATAGGGTTACACGCGATCCTAGGGCGTCAACTAACTGACGCTAAAGGGCGCCTAAAGCGTCAAATATTGAAGCATGGTCAAAATGCAAAATGTCAGTTAGGTGACGCCTTGGGCGTGAGAATGGGCTGTCAGAAGATATTTAGGCAAAAATACAAACGTTAACCAATTTCCAGGTCTTTTGTGCATTAGTGGTGAGGATTTTTCAGTGGCTCTTTCTGCAGATTATTATTATGCCATGCAGTAGAGTGGCAACAAGTGATTCTTTGAATTATTCACACAAACAATTTCTTTAAACTGATTAATTCTGGAATCTGTTGCTCAGAATTACAATAGGTATTTCTGCTTAGAGCATGTTTGGCACTATTTTCATTGGTGGAGTAAAATTATGCCACCTTGCCATTTTGTGCTTAAAGTGAATAATCTAACTAACTTTTTTTATTGATCCGTCATGTAAAAGCAATATCACGTCAGTGCCTTTGATATGTTAGCGTGGCTATGATATTTGAAACAGCACTTGTCTGCTTGATATTGATTAAATTATAAAATTTTGGATTGAAAACACACCTTTCATGACCAGCTTCACCTCATAGCAGGTTTTTTCACTCACTCTGCACCGATACCATAATTCATCAGAGTTTACTGCATCCCTTATAAGCAGAGATCCATTCCCAAGTTTTTTCGCTCTCTCATACAGAGGCTTCAAGACTCTCTCTGCGCTGTTTGAAGGCTTGTGTGGAGGGCGATATTTGCTTATATCTACTGATTGGTGACCAACAACGATTGTCCAAATTTCTTGATCAGTTCTGTTTTGCTGTGGATGTTCAGAGCATTGCAGCAACACTGATGTATTTGGTGTTGCATGAACTGCGTTCAAAGTTTTACACTCTAAAACCAGAGAAACACATTAACATTCATATTATATAAGTATATGGCTCTACAATGAGGATTATTAGCGTGATTGAAAAAATTGCATTCTCACCTTTGACCCTCAGGATAAATTGAGTTGTTTTAAGGCAGTCCAAATCATTGTAGACCTGACAGTCATAAATGCCATCATCAGATAAACTGATATCTTTCAGATCAAGTGTAACATTTCCAGCATCATTTCTCACAGACCATCTCTGATGCTCTAATGCTGAAGAGTTGTTTGAATACTTTAGGATGTGTTGAAGCGGGTTTGTCCTGCTTAGTTTCACTGTCAGAGACTCCAGCGGGTGGGTTGTGGTTAGGCAAGAAATAGACATATTGTCGCCCTGAACATAGTTTATGTTCAACTGTTGGACCTTGCAGGGTCTCGCTGTCTGAGCTAAAGGGAAATTAAAAAGAGAAATGAGACATCCCGAGAGAACTGATACATGGATAGGAAACCAGCACTGGGTTTATTGTAAAAAATGTAATTTTCTGAAATGATCCTTTTGATTGCCAGTGTATAAAAATCCATAAATCCACTTGGAAACACTTTAAAATATAGTTCCAGTTATTAACTACATTTGTTAAAATGAACCAACAATGAAAAATAGTTCTGAAGCCAGTTATTAATATCATTTAATGATAATTTAAACAATTACTAATACATAAAAGAGTTTTGTATATAATTCAATTTTTGTTATTATTATTTAATGGAACAGAGGTAACAATGGATTTTTTTTTGTCAACTGTCGTTAACAAAGATGAATAAATACTGTAACACATGTATAGCTCATTGTTAATGTTAGATAACGCATTAACTAATATGCTAACTTACGGAACCTAATTGACTTTTATAACTGTTTTATATAAATGGATTGTTTGGGTGTTTTTAATTGTTTTTTTTAAAAGACTGTCTACAGTAAATACTTTTCTTGCTTCAAATTTTCACATACTAGCTAGAACAGAAGCTGTTTGTTAGCAATTTCTAAATAATTAACCATTATGTAGCCCATGAATGACACTGATTACAATGCATGTCACACCTATGCTGCCTGTACACACCCAATTGATATTATGCATATTTTGCATTTTTCTATGTTGGTAAAAGGAATTTGATTTCATATAATGATACTTACCTTTGCATTCCAATAAAGCTGATATTAGAAGATACAGAATTTGAAAATATAAAGCTTGAAAACTCCCCATCATTTACAGATGCTCACTGCAGGACAGCTGAAATCTATATGAGCCAAGGCCACATCCCTTCACTTTCACAAAGCTGTTTTCAGTTGTTCTAAATTTAGTGCGGAAGTAAATAAGATGTGATCATGTGCTCATACAGAGACCTTCAGTGAGATTCTTAGTTTTGCTTACATAAAAAATACAAACCTTTGATTTGATCAGTGCTTGATGCCAAGTCTATTTCAAATAAATAATACATGTACTTAAATCATTCTCATTTACTTTGGGACAAGAACTACTGCAAGTAAATAAAAAATAAATAGGTTTTGTAGTGGTGCACATGCACATAAAGTTCTGGAGATGAGGAAAGGCAGCCTGTATATTAAAAAAAATAAAATAAAACAGGATTATCAGAAAACTCTTTATTGGAAAAAAATAGTTACTTCAATTATTTTACATTAATCCACTTTGACATCAAAGTAAACACCAATACACCATGGGATGGTAAACTAAGAGCAAATACTATTAATTAATGTCATTGTTTTTTTGTTTGTTTGTTTTTTTTTTTTTGCGTGATGCAACACAAACTTGGTCTGGTTTCTTAAGCTGTCAGTTGACAATTAACATTTTGGTGGAAACAGAAAAAGTGGTTGTGCTTTCATCTGAAAAAAAATACACAGTAGTTGCATTACAAAAGACGGAATTTCACAGTACAATTGATTCAGAAATGCTCTGCAAATTTATAGTGCTAAATGACATTTGTTATAGGTAAGTTAAAGCTATTTTTTAAGTTCATTGTTTGTATGGAAATGTAGGCTATTAATTGAAGTAACTGAAATATTAATGTCTTTTTTGTGATTATGTATAAAAGAGTGTCCTGACAGACCACAACCAGCTTACAGCAGAAAAGCTGAACATAAGCACAAGCCACAAGACCTTTTACCTTCACACAGATGTTGTCAAAGCAGGAAATGTGATCTGTGCAAAATGTCAGAGAATATGCCATTTTGCACACATTTCTACAAGAAAGACTCGGAAGGCGAGATGATATCACAATAACATTTATTAATTAATAGACCAGCAAATGAAAACAGAAATAGGCCTATATTGGATGGTAAAGTTCTTTGGCACAGGCCCTGTCCGTGCTTCACATTTGGAAGATATCGGACTCTGCATGTTTAAGGAACGATCTTTTATTCTCCAAATATTAGAAAGTGATTGTATAGACCAGAAAGAACAAAAGAACAATACACTAATTACGAGCATAGAAAAATCAATTATAATAAAATAAAGTTACAAAATAAGTAAGGTCTAACTGTATTTATGTACAGAAATGTAAAAATTAGGCATAAATGTAAAATAACACTATAGCGTTCACTGTATTGTATGTATTGCACTGTAATCTTTGTGAAAGCTGTTTTATTTGATTAACAATTACTGACAGACAGAAGCAGGTATTTAAAGGCTGATGTCTTCATTCGACTTTTTACACAACAGTTTACATTCACAAGACATTTAAGAGATTTCTTGCCAAAATGGATATTTTGAGATCATTTTTAGTTTATTTGTATGTTTAAGAGCAAGGAAATGCAAAAGAGGAATCAATGGGCTTTATGCACAGCTGCACTACTTCCTGAACTTAAGCTCCTTGTTTCCCGTCTGCCATTATTGGCCAAATTGATTAATTTAGGTGTGCCTGACCTCAGTAGTCATGGCAACAATAATCAGACACACCCGAATTAATCAATTTTGCCAATAATGGCAGACAGGAAACAAGGAGCTGGCTTAAATTCAGGAAGTAGTGCAGCTGTGCATAAAGCCCATTAGGTGTCGGTAGGCTACGAAACCTCTCTGTGTGCGAGCGCTTGTGCACAGATAACAGCGTGCAAGTACCGAATGTGTAAATAAGACAAAACACATGCAAATGATAAACTTTCACTCTGTTGGTTAAACTTGGCAATTAATCCGCAAACCATATGTGTGCCGAACAATGGGAACCGGTCCTTACGGATTACGGTGGAGGGACCATGCAGGCACAGGCCCAAACCTCTAAAGAGAAGAAATGCAAAAAGCTAAAATAACTAACCTCCGACAGGCAGTTGATGAGTAACCTGACGCATGACATAAGAAAACGAACGAGAATTTTTAAAGAGAAATGTTGGAAGATTTCGATATAAGAGTGGAGGACCTTGAGTTTGTTGCCCAGCCCTATGGTTTGAACCGTGAGAGGCTAAAGCTTACGCTGCTTCTGCATTGCTTTTGGCGTATGTCGACTTAAGTAGGACGTCTGCCTGCAGAAGCTAGTTATTGGTTTTAAAGTTTTAAATATTGATATTTTTCTTACACACACGAATGGTTTCGCTTCGAAAGGCCTTTAAAGGCCTTAAATAATTATCCCCCCCCCCCCCCCCCCCTTAAAATTGGAAAAGCAAGGACATTATTTAATATATCTCTGCTTGTGTTTGTCTAAAATAATTAAGTCATATAGGCTACACCTAGGATGGCTTGAGGGTGAGTAAATCATGGGGTAATTTTAATTTTCATCTTAGGAACAACAAAAGAAAAACTCGTCTAAAAAAATTAGGTGCATCCAAAACTAAAATCGGGAAAAAGATCGTGTTTGAGGCACTGATAGTGCATTTATTAGTCATTGAGAAATGTCACAACGTCACTGATCAACATTTGCCATTTTTCATTAACCCTTGTTCGGGTAGGCTACAGCAGTTAGAACTGTAGGCTAGATATTAAGGAGAAATTAAGCCAGACTCCACATAAGAAAATACCATAGCACATTTAATATATATTCTTTTTTAGCCTATATGTTTTAACACAAAAAAGACATTTAAGTATCAGCAGAACTATGCAGTTAGAACTGTACAGATATTAAGGAGAAAGACAGACTCGTGCCAAGAAAGACAGATAGCCTTGGCCTAACGTTTGTTTTATGTAACACGGTCTGATCGAGAGGTTCTTCTGTGATTTCCAGGACGTGCGATGTGATAAACAGGTTGTGACATTGATTTTTCACCCTATAGCAGGAAGGATTAGTGTTTGCAAGCTGATTTTAGGAAAGATAATTTTTGAGTTTGGATAAGGCTTTACAGTAAGAGATTAGAGAAGCAGTCTAGACAAGCCGTTATTTTAAAGAGACACACACTGCCCTCTGCAGGCCTCACTGAGCATTACTGTATAAATAGACACTGCATAATGTCTTATTCTAAATACTGCACCAAGCACATAGGGAACAAGTCATAATTACTCTTTGTTTTAAAAATTAAGTATTCCAAACATGAAATCTTATTTATAAGAAAAAATTACATTCAATACTCGACCATTATCTTTTCTCTCAGTCAAACACTCTATAGAGCTACTTGATTGCAGGATTGCAGCGCCTCCTTCTGTTCCTGCATGTCTCATCCACCAGCCTCCTCAGAGGAGCAGAGTTCTTCTCTCTACAATGACACAAATGCTGTATATACTTGTACAGATGTCCTGAACTTGAAGTTGTAAGACCTACTAAATCGATACAAAGGAGGCATCCGATTAGAGGCGAAGGTGTCAAGCATGTTACGTCTCTTAAGAGCACTAAACTCAGACTTAAATACACAGGAAAACAAGAGAAACTAATGAGACTAATCAACAAGACAAACCTGAACTAAGAATTAACACAATAAGTAACCAAGGATACAAAGAGACAGGGGGCAGAGGAAGATTGAACCAATTAACAGGTAGAAGATTAGCTTAAAAATAAACTGAGATTGACATGGAAAACTTCAACGCGTTCTCATCCCAAAGCGCCATATAGGACGCTTTTGCAAAAGCGTAAATAGCAACGCACATGGCACCCTTTAACGTCTAATGAGACGCTTCGGTTAATGGTTAAGTTTAGGTATGGTGTGGGGTAAGGGTTAGACCACTAGGGGGCGCCATCTGCCCAAATATATCTGCGTCTCATTTCACGTTAAAGGGTGCCATGTGCGTTGGATATTTACGCTTTTGCAAAAGCGTCCGATATGACGCTTTGGGATGAGAACGGGCTCAGAAAAAATTATTTTAACATGGTTTAATTAAACTCAAATCCTGACACCCGCATTAGGTTGTGCCCTGCTCACCCCACGTTGAACTACAGAATACAACGGGACATCCAATCCTGCAGGAAAAAAGATTTTTATTAAAAACACTATCAAATGCACATATTGTTAATAGGGAGTAAGTACTTAGCATTCATTTGACTTACCTCCAGAAATTTCAGAATAATATGCAGAACCCCTACAGTTCAATTCAGCTACAAGATACAAAAATGTATTAGCTTCTACCATCATAAAGCATAAAAGCATAGAGTAAAGTAATATTTTCAACCCTCACTGCCATGGTGGCATGATATGGGCTGTATTTCATATCTCATTTCACACTCAGAAAACATTAAAATCATATATTGTTTAGTTCAATTTAGTTTGGTTACTTTCACTTTCTGACATAGTAACATCACATCTTACAACCGCCTAAAGAATATCAATTAAATTTCAGTAATTTGAAAGAAAACATGAAAATGAACATATGCAAACAGACACTGCAGTGTAGCTGAGACAGTTTAAACAGTTAAACTTTTCAGGACTATGTAGTGGACTTACTTTGGCTGTTGATATTGCGCCTTTGTTTTCTGAAATAAAGAATCACACATATAATCAGTGTTATGAGGACACACAGAGACACTACTGCGGTCATCACCACTGCTATCAGATTAGTTGTCACTTCTGCACTCGCATCAATGTTGCCTTCAGTCTGGACAACAGGACTATAAGCTGAGGTTGAAACATCTGTGATCACTAGAGAAAAGAAAAAAAATAAGCAAAATCATCATATGGTTCAGTTTGATTGGGTTATTTGTATCACTCTTCAATCTAGCCACTGTCTTGCATGGCTAATGATATTTTGGAAAGTATTTTCAATTTCATGTCCTTTTCATTTTTTCCCCCACATTTGTTCTTTTTGTCTTATGCCAAAATTCTTTATTTCCCCTTTTTCCCCCACACCAATCTAGTCAATACCTCATAATGACATTGATAAACAGTTTTGTGATATCTATATGCAAATTTATCAACAACAATAAAACTTAATTGCTAAAGGGCACCTCCTGCTAGTATTGTGAATCAAACCCACAACCTGACTCCAACCAAGTCTGACTCTCTCACCCTAAGGCCACAACTGCTTTATCATTAAGGATATCTTTGTATTTTACTCAGTACTCAGCGAGTTTCAGTCCTCATTGCCACAGAAAAAAAAAAAAAAAAGGTTCTTGGTCACCTCTCTTAAAAAGGACCTTCTAACTGCCTGCTATAGGAAGAGTCAAGTTGCCCCAAATCTCTATTTATGAATTCTGGAGATCACTGTGTTCTTGGGAACCTTCAGTTCAGCAGACTTTGTAGGCTTCCTCAGATCTGTGTCTTAGCATCCTGTTTCTGAACTCTGCAGGCAGTATGTTGACCATTTGACCTCTATTTTTTGCTCTGATATGCATGTTCAACTGCTAGACTTTATACAGACAGCTGTGTGTCTTTACAAATCATGTCAAATCAATTGAATCACATATACTGTATTACTAAACAGATATTATAACCACATATATAATCTTATAAAAAACATAATCACCTCAACATGACTTAATTTTAATCTAATCCTTAACACAAACGTATTTCACTATATGAAAACGTTTTGACTATCAACACATCTCACATTTGAATTGCATAGTTTAACTTAAAATATTGTTAAAGGTGAAAAGTCTGTCAGAGTCTGAGACTTTAGGGTTAGAAATACTGCATTGAAAACACACCTTTCATGACCAGCTTCACCTCATAGCAGGTTTTTTCACTCACTCTGCACTGATACCATGATCCATCAGAGTTTACTGCATCCCTTATAAGAAGAGATCCATTCCCAAGTGTTTTCGCTCTCTCATACAGAGGCTTCAAGACTCTCTCTGTGCTGTTTGAGGGCTTGTGTGGAGGTCGATATTGAGCTATTTCTGTTTGTTGGTGACCATGAAAGATTTTCCAAGTTACTTGATCAGTTCTGAATTGTAGAGGATGTTCAGAGCATGGCAGCAACACTGAAGAGTCTGGAGTTGCATGGACAGAATCCAAAGTTTTACACTCTGAAACCAGAGAAATATATTTATTACAAAATAGACAGTTCTGGATATTTCGTTTTATTTATTTATTTATTTCATTTTTTGTGTGGTTCTGTTTGTACTTATTTGTCCAATATGTGTAATTGTTGATATTTTTTTGTTTGTTTATTTGATTGGTGTTCTTTTGTGATGGCTGTGATGTACTTTAGGACCCCCTCGAAAAGGAGATGTTGCATCTCAAGGGGTTTACCCTAATCAAATAACTTTACAAAAGTTTTCAGAAGGATTATTTACTTGTTTTTTAGAAATTGGCATTCTCACCTTTGACCTTCAGGTTAAAAAGAGTTGCTTTAAGGCAGTCCCAATCTTTGTAGACTTCACATTCATAATGACCTTGATCAGATAAACTGATATCTTTCAGATCAAGTGTAACATTTCCAGCATTATTTCTCACAGACCATCTCTGATGCTCTAATGCTGAAGAGTTGTCTGAATACTTTAGGATGTGTTGAAGCGGGTTTGTCCTGCTTAGTTTTACTGTCAGAGACTCCAGCGGGTGGGTTGTGGTTAGGCAAGAAATAGACATATTGTCGCCCCGAGCATAGTTTATGTTCAACCGATGGACCTTGCAGGGTCTCTGTGTCGCCACTAAAAGGGGAAAAAAAGAGCAGAACAAGACGAGAGAGTGTGAGAGACATGGAAACCACAGCGTTTACAGTAATAAACAGCATTTACTTTTTACCAAGTGGTTCTGCCTCTAAATGTATTAATACATTGTATGAAATGAGAGAAGAAAAAAAATCCACAACCGGATGAACTGTCAGTATTACCTGAAATTAAATTTTGAAAGTCAGTGTACCAAAAAGTTAAATTCATAAATAGACTTTGGAAACACTTTACAGTAAGGTACCATTTGTTAATGGTAGTTGCATTAACTAACATCAACTAACAATGAGCAATATATTTGTATTATTCAACTCTGAAAATACAACTGTTCATTGTTTGTTAGTTCATGTCAGCTCAGGTCCATTAAATAATATTAAAAGATACAGTACAACCTTTGATTTTAAGAATGTTAGGGAAGGTTGACATTAAAACTAACTAGATTAATAAATGCTTTAGAAGTAATGTTTATTGTTCCTGTTAACCGATGAAGTAAATTAATGTAAACAAATAGGACCTTGTTTTAAATGGCTACCAATTGCATTTACATTTTCTATGTAGCTAATATAATGTCTGTACTTTTGAATTTGAACCAAATCAAATGGGTTAGGATAGGATTAGTACTCAGCCGACGTCGATGTCGAGACACGTTAGGGTTAGGATAGGATATATTGAAGTACTGAGTAATATTAAGCAACTACATGTACTTACTGTATATATAGGATTAGGATTTGGTTGAGGGTTAGTTGCATGTAATTATAATTTACTGTTATTACTATGCTAAGTACATGTAACATATGAAGAGTTCAGATGCAAAATCCTCTAAGTGCCATTTGAAATTTTCTTCTAAAATGATCATTTTTATCAAGCTTGTATATTTAACTTCAGTAATACTGAACTTAAATATACAAGCTTGATAAAAATGGTCATTTTAGAAGAAAATTTCAAATGGCATTTAGAGGCTTTTGCATCTGAACTCTTCATATGTAACAAGGACATGGTAAAATAAAGTGTTACCTTTCGTTCTTTATTAAAGGAAATGGTTACATTTTATACCAAAAAAAGTAGAAAAAAAAGTTAACAGAAATTTCCAAATTGCACGTTCACTGTGTAAAACGTATATGACAACATGTAAGTCATACCGCTACATTTAAAACTTTAAAACTTTTAAAGCTTTGAAACAATGTCCACTTTGAAAAAGGCAATATAAAAAAAAAAAAAAACATACTTGACACTGATGCATGTCACACCTATAACCTCACACAAAATACTCTGATATTATGCATATCTCATGTTTGTATGTTGGTTAAATGAATTTGATTGAATTTACTTTAATTCACTTACCTTTGTATTCTAATAAAGCTGCCATAAGAACAAATAGAATTTGGAAACATGACGGCTGAACACTCCCCATCATATACAGATGCTCACTTCAGGACAGCTGAACTCTATATGAGCAAAGGCCACATCACTTCACTTTAACAGAGTTGTTTTCAGTTGCTCTAAATTTAATGCGGAAGTGAATAAGATTAGGTGCTATTTAGATTATCTGTGTGATAGTTTTTAGCTGTCATATTTAAAACCTTTAAATATTCTAATAGTATTAGAAAGCTGCTATTAGAAGATTTAAAAGTTGGAAATACAGAATGAAAAATAAAAGAAATAACCCCATTGCATCATCAGTTTAAAGCTTACTGCAGAATGACTGAATATGAGCACAAGCCACAAGACCTTTTATATTAACACAGTTAATTTCAAACTGCCAAAGTAGAAAATGTGATTATGCAAAATGCCAATGAAACTGCCAACAATGAAAAACACCTTTTTGGAAGTAAGACCGTTTCTCTAGAGACCACATCCCAAAAACCTTATTACCTTTTGTTTTACTTATTTGGAAATGAGACATTTGTGCCAGTCGTACTGAGACATTTCAAATGATTCTGAACATGTATAATACTCAATGATAATTGTTAACATTAAACCATTTAGAGTCTTGGGCGAGTTTTTGGTGATCTTCGCATGGGGGATGAGGGGGAGAAATGTAGATTAGGATGAGGGAGGTGAGACCTTCGTCTCAATTGTGCACGAGGGGGAGTTCAAATATTAATTTCAGCCTCAACCAGTTCTTAAAGTTTTTCCAGTCTTACAATAATGCTAATAATTCATTCAACACCTAGGGCAGAGAATTTTAAAATTTATGAGGTTTTTACTGTTGCTGTAAGGTTCATATTTGTGTGTTCAGTCCAATAGCAATATAACAACGGTATAAAGACAAAGGCATTTTGAAGATCCAGTATCCAGCGCTCAATTGTCTGTTTGTCTAAAACATTCATTGGCTACAGTATGTAGAAATACAAGCACAACTGTGATTATTAAGCACACCATACAATTAAAAAAATAATAATGGAGAGAAACTACTAAAGTACTACCTCTCCAAGAGGCAGCTTGGTAATAAGAAATTGTGATCTGTCTCTCAGCCTGTAAGTTAAAGGAGTAGTTCACTTTAAAAAAAAAAAAAAAAAAAAAAAAACTTTTTCTGATAATTTTCTCACCCCCATGTCATCCAAGATGTCCATATCTTTCTTTCTTCAGTCAAAAAGAAATTAAGGTTTTTGATGAAAACATTCCTGTGTTAAAAATGGACTTGAATGGGAACCAAATGGTTCAAGGTCAAAATGAGAGTTTCAGTGCAGCTTCAAAGGGCTTTAAACGACACCAGATGATGAATAGGGGTTGAACCTTGTAGTTTTACAACCGTGAGCAAAAGACTGTCAAACTGACCTGTAAAAAAACTGTCAACCCTGTTACATTTCTTAAGGCATAAGTTCACCTACGAAAACAGACATGTTTTCGTAGGTGTACTGACTCTCACAGTAATGCAAAAATATACCGTAGCAGTAACAGACAAAGAAACTTATAGAAGTGTAAATTGTGTCAAAATTTGGTGTAAATGCAGCTATTTTAGCTGTCCATGCACTGTAAAAAAAAAAATAAAATAAAAAAAAAATAAAAAAAAAATCATGATTTGTTATGACATTTTTTTCTTCTGTCAAATCAACTATGTGGTTCAGATAACATAATATTTTTAGTTTCTGATTATTAAATCATTATCCTTCATTGTAACTCAATTTTTCAATTTTAATGAACTTAGTTTTAAGGCAACCAGGTTACTTCACTTTTTAAGTTAAACCAACAATATTTTTTTTACAGTGTGGCAATTAAATTCACTGACACTTAAAGTTTTATTTAAATTGTTTTATTTAAAGAAATAGATATATGCATAGAAAAAGCCATTTGTGAAATTAGCGATACAATACATGAAAATAGTTTTAGCTATGAATGTCAATAATGTAAAAATGTATCATGCTTTGACTGTCTCTCACAAAACAGTTATGATAAAAAAAGAAAAGAAAAAAAATGATAAAGTAAGTTAAAAACTTAGCAACTATGTCAGCTAATTCTCATTAAAGTATTAGTAGACTGTTTGCTTAATATGACTTTCTTTATAATGATGGTCCTCCAACAGACATTCTACTAACTATAAGTAACTTTCCAACATGGCAACTTATTTTAACCCAAACCTACTATTCTACTAATACTCTACTGACACTCTAATGAGAGTAAGTGACCCGACCCGAACCGTACCGTACTGAACCGTACCACTCAGTGGAAACAAGCCATAAGTAGACCTGTAGGTGCAACGTTACATCATTTGTTAAAGGGACCGTCAAATAAAGTGAAACCAAAATCTTTAAGTTCAGATATGATATAATAATAATAATAATAATAATAATAATAATAAAAACATTACACAGAGTATTTACATTTTTTTTGTATTACTGATTTTCCCCTTTAATATCAATTTTGAAAGAAGGCTAAACTACTAAATTTGGACTTTATCAAAGACTTATCTAAAAAAAGTTTAAATCATCATACATCTGATCTCATTTGCATGCTGTTGCATCTGTTTGTTCACACCAACTGTGAGGAAATGATAGTTCAAAAGTTCTTTGAATCATGTGCACATTTGCAGATGTGTGCATATCCATTTAAATGTCCAGCCATGTTATGAAGTAAGTTAAAAGTTTACAAAAATGGCTATGCAAGCGGTACAGCATATCTTGTGATGTGGTTTACAACATTACACCAGTCATCATCTGTTTCAGTAACTTACAGGTGGTTGAGAATAGAACGAGACATCAAACCCTGCAAGAGAAAGACTTTTATTTAACACACTTCATGTAAATAAATTGTATGTATTTTGTAAGGACTTACTATGAATATCACTTACCTCCTGACATTTCAGAATAAGACACAGAAGACCAGCAGTCCAATTCAACTACAAGATACAAATAGAAGTACTGATCAACTTCTATATTTGTATTTGAGAAGGCTCAGATCCAAGTTTCTGTTTGGATAACTGGTCAGTGGAGTATAACATTATTGTAATGGTGTATTACAATATACACATAAAATGTACGGTATGTTCAGGTTCTCTTCTTTTCAATAAGCCATTACATGATTTGAACCATTCTGTTAAAAACAATTCAATAGTGTTCAACTTTTCAGGACCCCGATTGTGGACTTACTTTGGCTGTTGCTTTTGCTCTTTCCTTTTTTGAAATAAAGAATCACACAGACAATCAGTGTTATGAGGACACACAGAGACACTATTGTAGTCATCACTACTGCTATCAGATTATTTGTTACTGCTGCAGGACTGTCAGCTTTGGTTGGAGCATCTGCAAACACTGGAGAAAAGATAAACTCATAAATGAACATCAGTCAGTTTGATTAGGCTATTTTTCATCACACACATATGGCATTTGTCTTGCCTGTGGCTAACAATGTTGTGGAAACTTAATTGGTTGATTGCAAAACCTGCACAGACATTCATATGGTAAACAATAGTAATGATTTATGAAAAAAATAAATAAAATAGAGATAGGCCAAGTTTTCCACCACGCATATAGTTTATAAAATGTAATGCGAATATTGAGACTTTAGGGTTAGAAATAATGCATTTAAAACACACCTTTCATGACGAGCTTCACCTCATAGCAGGTTTTTTCACTCACTCTGCACTGATACCATGATCCATCAGTTTTTACTGCATCCCTTATGAGCAGAGATCCATTCCCAAGTGTTCTCGCTCTCTCATACAGAGGCTTCGGGACTCTCTCTGTGCTGTTTGAGGGCTTGTGTGGATGGCGATATTGAGCTATTTCTGTTTGTTGGTGACCATGAAAGATTTTCCAAGTTACTTGATCAGTTCTGAATTGTAGAGGATGTTCAGAGCATGGCAGCAACACTGAAGAGTCTGGAGTTGCATGGACAGAATCCAAAGTTTTACACTCTGAAACCAGAGAAATATATTATTACAACAGGTTTCAAGAGGATTATGTACTTGTTTTTTTTTGTTTTTTTTTAGAAATTGGCATTCTCACCTTTGACCTTCAGATTAAAAAGAGTTGCTTTAAGGCAGTCCCAATCATTGTAGACTTCACATTCATAATGACCTTGATCAGATAAACTGATATCTTTCAGATCAAGTGTAACATTTCCAGCATCATTTCTCACAGACCATCTCTGATGCTCTAATGCTGAAGAGTTGTTTGAATACTTTAGGATGTGTTGAAGCGGGTTTGTCCTGCTTAGTTTCACTGTCAGAGACTCCAGCGGGTGGGTTGTGGTTAGGCAAGAAATAGACATATTGTCACCCTGAACATAGTTTATGTTCAACCGATGGACATTGCAGGGTCTCTGGGTCGCCACTAAAAGGAAAAAAAGAGCAAAACAAGACGTACTGAGAGAGCTGAGACGTTCTGAGAGAACCGAGACATGCAAACCACAGCGTTTACAGTAATAAACACTACAGCATACTGTTCACCAACTGGTTTCGAAATGCATATTAATACATTGTATGAAATGAGAACCAAAAAATTCACAACCCAATCAACTACTGTCAGTAATTCCTGAAATTGTCCGTTTAAAAAGTTAGTTTACAAAAATATCAAATTCATAAATAGACTTTGGAAATGTGTTAATTTGTCTGATTTGTTAATGCATTAACTAACATCAACTAACAATGAGCAATATTTGTTACAGTTTTTCATCTTTGTTAAAGTTAATGAAAGTATAAATGTTTATTGTTAGGTCATGTCAGTTCAGGTCCAGTGAATAATATTAACCCTTAATCATGTTTTTCAACATTTTTTATGTTCATCTATACATTTATGCTGTTTTTGTGGAACATTTTACCTATTTACTGCACAATTACTTAACTATGCCATTGAAAAATCACTTAAATTATGATATTAATTAAACCAAATTGTTTTTGGACATTGCTGTATGTGTTAGTGATATAATACTGCCATCTGCAGGTTTGTGGAAAACTTTAGAAATCATAGTTAAAGAAAGTGCCACACATATCCAATAGACTGAGCTGAGGTCCATAGAAACTAGAATTTTTTCTTGATGCTAATGATTTTATGATTCCTTGATGCTTAAGTTTTGTGCATGTCACTCAGAAAACAACAATTTTATAAATGCCTTCCAAATGTGCGAAGACTAAACAAAAGGCTATACCTTTGTTCCAAATGCTATAACTTTTAATTACTTTATGCAATCCCCACAAAATTAGATTTTCAGAATTATCCTCCACCGTATTTCTTTCTAGTTGTTGCATGTTAAAGAAGAAAGAAATGTAAATTTATAACAAAAATTATATATATATGTTTGTCTTTTATCACCAGTTTCTCTTTTTTGCTATATGAGTTATGCGTCTTTATTTATTTATATTTTCTTATATTTGCTATGGTTATGCGTCTATAGTTTTGCGTGTGTCACTCGCAACAGCTCTAAAAATGCTCTCTGTCAGTCACACACATGTGTGTGTTTGTGTGAGATAGAAAGTTTGTTCCACTTTGTGTTTATGCTCTTGGACCAGATCTTGATTTAAATGTAGAAATGTTCAGATTTAGACTGGATTTTTTTTTTTTTGACAAACAAAATTTAAAAAAGGCATTAAAAAAAAATCAAGCCCAGATTTTTGGTTTGTGTTTACTGTAGATGTTCGTTATTTAGGTAAAGTCACAGTGGGGTCAGCTGGACCCCAAACACTTTTAAGATTTTAAGAATGTGTTTGTAAATGTTGAAATTAATTAACTAACTTATTAAATCAAATTAATATTATTAATAAATTAAGTATTGTTTAGTTTATTGTTATATAATGAAACCTTTTTGTACTGTTACTTAAACTTTTATATATATTTTCTAAAAATGTATTGTCCTGGAGTAATGCAGTTTAACCTCTGCACAACGTTTATTAAAACTGTTCATCATGCTTTTCTCACATTTTCTTGCTTACAGAAATAAATATGTAAGTTCTTGAAGGGAAAAGCTTACATATGTGTATATACAAAAATGTTATCAGCAATTTCCAAATTTAACGTTCACTATGTAAAACACGTGCAAGTCATTATTACCGCAATATTTGTTTTACAAAGCTGCTTTGAAACAATCCACTTTGAAAAGTGCTATAACACAGTTGACTTGACACTGATAATATGCATGTCACACCTGCGTCACATTACACACAAAGTACACTGATATTGTGCATACCTTTGTTGGTGTGTTGGTTAAAGGAATTTTATTTAATTTAATGGCACTTACCTTTGTATTCTAATAAAGCTGCTATTAGAAAAAATAGAATTCGCCAACTTGACGGCCGAACACTCCCCATCATATACAGATGCTCACTGCAGGACAGCTGAACTCTATATGAGCAAAGGCCACATCACTTCACTTTGCCAGAGTTGTGTTCAGTTACTCTGAATTTAATGCGGAAGTAAACAAGATCTAATAATGTGCTCATTTAGAGGCCTTTTGTGATATTTTGTATGTGATGCGAGTAGGAAGACATCGTATTTTTAAACTTTTAAATCTTTTAGTTTTAATTATAAGATGTAGAAGTTGGAAACATGAAGAGCGAAAATATTGCATCACATTGACAGTTTAAAGAAGCTCACTGCAAAATGACTGAATATGAGCACAAACCACAAGACTTCACACAGTTGTTTTAAAGTCTGGTAATACCAAACTCTGCTACTTTGCTTTGCAGACAGAGTCAGGAATGGCAAATGAAATAGAGGGAAATGTTTTCGATTTGAATCCCATTTCCTGGGTGTATACATTTAGGGACTATGGTGTTACAAAACCAGGAAATAATTTGAGTATACTTGAGTAAGTATATTTAAAAAAATTGTTTAATTGTTAGTTGTTTAATAATTGTTAAATTTCCCTGAAAGAGCATACACAAGTGTGACACTGTGTCTTTTTAAAGATGTCATGCTGAGACTGTCGTGTGTTCGAGTTCAGACCACCTCGATACTAGTTCAGCTCAGTTTCTTTTTGTCATTGTTACAGGATAACAACGAAAAGTTGTTAGAGCAAAAAGAAAACAAAACAAAACAGACAGGCATATAGTTTAAGTTGTTCACCCATTTTCCTTATCATGTGTCCCCATAAATTAAATTTAAATTACCCATGACTTTATACCTGATTGCTAGTTTTGGCCCTGATGGACCAATATCTTCTCCCCGAAGGGATTAGTTGTAAAAGATGATGTGCTGAATGTAAATGGTTTGGAGGATGTCCTTCACTCGGTTCATGCAGCGGGAGGTGTACACAATTGAGATATCTGGGAGAGTGACCCCAGTGATCTTTCCTGCCACTCTCACCTCCTTCTCAGAGCTGGTGCAGGCAGCAAACCACACAAGTAACCCATAGGTCAACACACTCTCCACTGCACAGTGGTAAAAATTGATCATGAGTCTCTGGGGCAGTTTTGCCCACCTCAGCTTCCTGAGGAAGAAGAGGTGCTGTTGAGCCTTCGCTGTGGCAGAGGCGATGGTTTTGCCCCACGACAGATCCTCCGTCAAAATCACACCTAAAAACTTAAAACTAGAGACCCTCAGAGGTACGCACAGATAGACCTGCTTGCCTCTCCGGACACATCAAATTGCCAGTTGTTTTACTCCCTGACCAAGGGGACTCTGCACGGGTGCGCTGGTGCACAGCTACAGTAGCCCCTGGGCAGGGCCGTATTGAGACAGTGTGGTGCCCCTGGGCACTTTACCTCAAAAGGCCCCCTATATTTAAATATGTCAATTCAAAATGTGCATCAATTAATTGACAGAGTCAATTCACATTTTCCTAACGTAAATAATAATACATCTATCAGCTTACTTACCTTTACAGGCATGAATATAGGTCAGGGTGAAAAAAGTAGATTGTGAGAAGGTTTTACTACCCCCAAGGGGGGTCCGGGGGCATGCTCCCCCGTAAGAAAATTTTAAATATTCCATATTTTAAAGCATCAATCTGATGCATTTTGCGATGCGTTTTTTGCCAACCTGGGGAGAGCTGGAGAAACTTAACTTCAGCCATGAGTCAAATATATTATGGCCTCCGTAGAGTTATAGCTTTATATATCGAATTATACCGATCCAATACGAGCTCAATTTCTATAACTCTGTGTTGAACTGATAATCACTATTTTTTGTGTAACACAATAATCTACTTAATACAGACAACTTCATTATAAAGAAAAACAACAAATAAAAAATCAATAAATATGATCATAACCTATGACAAAAAAATCTATTATAAACTGGATTAGTGGGCAACTCAGCAGTAAAATTTAGTCTAAAATAATCATAAGTGCACAATAATAGCAGTTAGTGAAAAAAACAACAACAACATTATTTAGTGGGGAACAAATAAGAGACACTAAATCTGTTAAAATGTTTTCATGTATTAAGTTTTGCAGAACTGCTTCTTCCTTGATTTTGCGCAAGCAACTACATGCCCAAAGTCCTTTTCTTTGTTACCGTTTTCACTTCTCATAATATTACTCGACATTCTCTGTAACCGATTCGCGCTACGGTAACGCTAGCATTTTTCGACAAGGCAACACAAATGGTTAGAACACCGGCTCGGTCAGACTTTCTGCTAGTGATTGCAATTCCTGTGATGTTCTCACAACAAAACTTTCGATCCCTGGAACATTTTGAATTGTAGCTAAACGTCTCTAGCGTCTTTGTCTTTCTGTAACTTTCTTTTTGCAAAACCACTCAATTGACTTCTGTCCATGTTTGATTTAGATTCATTTTCTGTAGCCGTTAAAAAAATGAATGACATTTGCGCGTACTTGTTGTGGACTAACTCAACTCTGACAGCTCCTCACGACAGCCTTCGTTTTCGACAGCCCAGTTTTCTGGCTGCTTTGGCTTCCATCAAGACAGTAGGCGACCTGCAAGCATTTTTGGTTGTGCCTGGAATTCAGGCCAGACAACTCTCATGTTGTCCTGAGACCACGGCCTGGAAATTTGCCCAAGGTTTCCAACACTCCTTTCAGGAAGAAGAGCTGCAAGTGCTGCCATTAGAAGAGGCAGACCCAGCCCTAGATTTGCTTTGTCTCATCCGTGTTTTGCGCCTGTACATGGACCAAACGCAGAGTTTCAGGACCTCAGACCAGCTCTTTGTCTGTTACGGAGGCCAGGATGCAAGGCTGTCTCCAAGCAGAGGTTAGCCCACTGGATGGTGGATCCTATTGTCATATCAAACCCACTCTGGTTGAGGGCACACTCGACTAAAAGTGTTGCTTCCTCCTGGGAGTTGGCACAAACCACCTCGCTGGCAGGTATATGTAGAACTGTGGGTTGGGTGGCAACCAACACGTTTGCTGGAGTTTTTAGCTTTTGTGTAGAGCCGGTATCCTCCCGTGTACTTACCCCAAGTGGCCAGTAGGGCTAGGAACCGTTTTTTTGTCGGTTTACAGCGTCATTCCCCTTGGTAACGCCAAATGTGACCAACTGAAAGGGAACGTCTCGGTTACTTATGTAACCCTCATTCTCTGAATGAGGGAATGGAGACATTACATCCTGTCGCCACAGTTGCTGTACCTCTGCTGAGCGGCCAGGTTACCGGCTCGGCTCCTCAGCGAAAACCAAACATGCAATGCATCTGTGCCATATTTATACCTGTGCTGCAGAACGGTGGGTCAGATGAAATCAGCCATGCCAATGTGCATTGGCTCATTTATTTACTACAGAAGTGGATTAGTCTTTCGAAGCGATGGGGGTAGTTAGTCCTAATGCATGAAGGTTGTTAATCAGGTAGCTTGGTACGATGGTGTTAAAGGCAGAGCTGTAGCCAACAAATAGCATCCTAATGAATGTGTTGGGCTTTTCCAGATATGAGAAGGCAGTATGCATAGCTACACAGATGGCATCCACTGTAGGCAAACTGATGTTGGTCTAGATCAGCTGTTAAAGAGTCTTTGATGGGAGTTATTACTAGTCGCTTAAAACATTTTGCAATGACAGGAGTGAGAACGATCTGTTGATAGTCATCAATACATGTTATCATGTTGTTAATTTTTTTGGAGCAGGCATGATGGCAGTGGATTTCAGGGATGTGTGGCTATGAATTCTCTCCGAGTCCCTTCTCGCTGGTACTATTGTTCCCTCTTCATCCCCCGAATCGCTATCCCCTGCCTCTGATGTCATCGGACTTCGATGTCTTGCAGGGAGCAAAGATCTTTACCATGTTTGATATCCTCAGCGCCTATCATCTCATTCGAATTAGGGAGGGCGTGCAAATGGAAAACTGCCTTTAACACACCCCTAGGCATGTTATTAATTAGGGATAATTATGGTTCCTGGAAAGGTCCAGGCTGTTATCTATTGGCCCGTTCCAAATTCTCACGTCCCCATCTGTCTACCATCTCTTATCGGCCCGGGACTAAGAATGTTAAGCCGGATGCGATCTCTTGCTTTTTTGACTCCTCGGCCACCACCCCAACCCAGGAAAAGATTTCTCCTGGCCGTGTTATGGGTGAGACGGTCTGGGGAATCGAGAAACTGTTGAAGTGCTCTCTCTCGTGTCGCCGCCCTGCGCAACTGTCCTTTTTTGTTCCTGTCTCAGTGCGTTTAGCTGTCCTCCAGTGGGGGCATTCTTCTAAATTGGTTGCCCATCCCGGCACTCTTGCTTTGATCCATCAACGTTTCTGGTGGCCCAAACTTGAACGTGACACGCAACGTTTTATGGCCTCCTGTGTCATTTGCGCTCAGACAAAGGCAGGCAATTTACCCACCTTACCGTCGTTGACCGCTTTTCTAAATCCAAACATTTTATTCCGCTCACAAAACTCCCTTCTGCCAAAGAGACTGCCCAAGTCATAGTCTATCATGATTTTAAACTTCACGGTCTCCCCTCCAATATCATCTTGGATAGGGGGCCACAGCTCACCTTGCAGTTTTGGAAGGAATTCTGCCATTTGATCGGGGCTTCTGCTAGTCTTTCCTCGGGTTTTCACCCACAGACAAACGGTTAGGCCGAACGATTAAATTTGTTGTGGTCTCATTCTCCGTCTCGCCCATCGCAAACCCCGCATTCTGGTCCGAGCAGCTCTCCTGGGCAGAATATGTGCACAATTCTCTCCCATCTTCTGCAACAGGTGTTTCGCCTTTTCACTGCTGCCTGGGTTACCAACCTCCTTTGTTCTTTGTCCCAGAACTCGGAATCTAATGCCCCGTCGGTAAAGGCATTTATCAGCTGTTGTAAGCGTACCTGGAGGAGGGCTTGCTGATAATCTAGAAGATGCATGAGCAACAGGCACCGCGTAAAGAGTTCACGCTATATTTGCGGGCAAAAGGTGTTTACAGGGTC